GGAGGGGGAGGAGCCCGCAGATAGTTCAAGGCCAATTTGAGCTCCGAGTCAATTTAACTCTTAGGTTTTACACTTACTAATAAAGAGCCTAGAAATACCACGACAGGTAATCTCAAGCAACAGAGCTGGTAATCCCAAGAGATTACCTGAGAGCTATTAACAACCCCAACCCTACTCAGAGGAAGTCGCTGAGGATGGAGGGCTGGAAGGCTATGATGTCACAAGGCTTCTCGCCCCTGGCCAGACCCCTTGACTGTGATTGGTTGATTCGCAGAAGGGCGCTGATGGAGAAGGGCGGGAACAAATTACAGAGACAAAGAAAGTCTTTGGGTGTGACAATTAGAGAAGGGCGTGCGAAGCGGCTCCCAGGCTGAAGTCTCTATATAGTCTTGTTTTCACCTGCTCCAGCGCCAGGGAGCGCAGGCGGTCCAGTCTGACCCTGAGCCCCCAGCGCCCCCCGCCCACCGCGGTGGGGGCAGGGCCGAGGGGCGGGGCTATGTGGAGCTGGGAGGCTGGGCAGAGTAATTGAAGTGGCTACCGAGCTGAGCCATGGAGAAGCCAGAGTCTCTCGCATCTGTTAGCGGTCTTAGTGCGGAATCCCCTCGTGGGGTTCCTAGGGCAGTACCTGGAGGTGTCAGAGGTATACAAACAGACACAGGACTGCCCTCCGGAGTAGCCTTGTTTCGCGGTTCTGGCCCCCCTTTGCATTCCGGGGGCACTGTAATTCACAGTCCTGGTCCAATCCAATCCTCTGAAGGGGTAGTGACCCTCAATTCCGGACTCAGTCCGCATCTCGGGGAAGTTGCAGGCTGTAGCCTTGGGTCCAGCAAATCCCCTTGCACTGGAACTGGTGCAATTAGGGCGTCCACCCCTGGGCCGGGGGAGCCTAGAGTGTACAGCTCGGAGAGTAGTCCATACTCCGGGTCAACTTTGTTGCACTGTCAAAACTATGAGGAGCGGCCCCGGAGCATCCTAAAAAACAGCAGTTCCATCTTGAAGAAAACCTCCAGTGGGGAGAAGTAAGCAGCTCATCTGTTAGCCCGCAGCCAGCAAACCTGAGATAGGAGGGAGGAGTTCAGGACACCCCGGGCGGAAGCCAAGAAAAAGAAGGGGCGGAGTCCTGAGACCGTGGTAGGGACCAGTAGGTGAGAGTAATTGGATGGGAAATCTGAGGTTTTCAAGACTTGGGGAGGGCGGCAGGTGTCACAGAAATCCTGGCCACACGGCACTGTAATTATCACTGGGCATCTGACTCCAATCCTAGCCTCCACAAGGGAATATAAGAAGAGTTTTTTGAGTGCCTGGAAGAATGAAGGAGGCCCCTGTGTTAGGAGAGGGTCACCAAAAGAGCTTCCTCCTTTGCTGTGTCCTTCCCTCACCTTAGGAAGTCTCAGCGCTGGGATGAGATGAACATCTTGGCTACCTACCATCCTGCTGACAAAGACTATGGCTTTATGAAGGCAGATGAGCCCAGCACCCCCTACCACAGGTGCTAAGCCCTCAGCCCTGGCTTCTCAGCCTAGACTCCGGTATCCCGACAAGAGAATATGAGGAAGAGGCAGAGAGGCCTCGGGTCCTATCGCTGCTTTCTCCTCCTCTGCAGGCTGCAGGACGAGGAGGACCTGTCTGCTGGGTCTTCTCTCAAGGTGACCCCTGAAACACTGGCAGAGAGGTGAGTGTCCTCCTACAGAGCTGTGCCCTCCACCCCATACAGGTAGCGCTGTGCTTTGGCCCCTAAAGTGGTAGATACTACAGTCTCCCTCAGACATAACCAAAACTGACCTGGGGAACCACTAGCTTGGCCCCCACCCACCATCTGTCCCTATTGTTTTCTCCCTTCTGTACCCCCAACTAGTCTCCCTCCCCTTCAGGTTTGCCACAATGGACAATTTCCTTCCCAAGGTCCTCCAGTATGGAGACAACAAAAGCTCAAGGACTGCGGACAACTTTGCCAAGACATGTATGTGAGATGTGGGGTGGGCCTTGATGGGAAGGGGAGGTGGAGTAGGAATGACCCTTCCGCGAAAGCCTGGAGGGAAAGCCACGCTTTCACACTGGCCCACAGACTCCAGTGATTTTGACAAGCACCGGAAGATACACTACAGTGAAGGGAAGTTCCTGAAGACCCCGAAAAACCAGCCCTTGGCTAATGAGGACGATAGCAGTGGGGCGAGTGCCAGCATCAGCAGTAGTAACCAAAGTGTGATGATGGACCTGAAGTCCAGGCCTGTGGACAAAGGCTGGGCAGGAAGACTGGCCACAGGAGTCAAAAATGAGACTGTCCTGGTGACAGACAGCAATGGTTAGTGACAGGGGCTTAGGGGACGGAAGACAGTTGTAGACTAGAGGCTGTTCCAGAGTCCAGGACTCCTTGTACTTTGCTTTTTTTCATATCTGTTCTCTCTGGTTCTGCTCTTTGCCTCTCCGCTGTGTTCTGCTGTCTTCAGAGCACTGGCTTACAGTCCTGTTGTCTGAAAGAAGGGACAACTGGAGCTGAGTCTCCACTCAGGGTGGCCTCCAAAAATGACTGGCTGGTGAACAGACAGTTTGAGAGAATGCTGGGGAATGCAGAATCACTGGAGGCTTTCTAATGGGGGAGGGGTGGTAGATGAGGACTCAGAACTCAAACTTTTCCCATCTGGTAGTGGCCACCATGCACACCTAGCATTCATAGGCTCAGCAGATCTCCACAGACTCAGACTGTCTGGGATGACAGTCTGCTACTTTTCAGATTCTGCTACTTACAGAAACCAGTTCCCCTCGGCTTCAGACTCTACCATGAGGGAGCAGAATGATCTACAGCGCAAGGAGTATTACAGTAAAGGAAGATACCTGAGGTCCTGTTCCCACCCTGAGATCGGAGAAGATAGAGAAGATGAAGAACAGGACAGTGAGAGCTGGGAAGGACAGCCTGGGGGCGGAAGGACAAACAGAACAAGCAGCTTGCTAGGTCCCCCAGCCCTCATCTCAATTACTTCCAGGTTCTTCTGGTCTGACCTGGGTTACTGAGAATCCCAAAGACACTGCAGGTCCTATTGGAATCCCTTTTGGGTATGACAAAACCATTTAGGGCTCTCTGGACATAACCATGATACTATTGCAACACGGGCACACCATCTCCCTAGGCCTGGCTCTTAGCGAGCTCCCAGCCTGCCAATCCTTTTGGGCCAGTGCATCAGCCACAGGCAGTAAGAGGCCCTAACCATCCTGGAATCTAATGCCTACATTACAGAGAACAGACACCAGGGATGTTCAGAGGGATTGAGAACCCCTCCTGCCTAGCATAAGCCACTAAGGCCACGCCTCCTCCTTGATCCCTCTCTGCCACCCCACTTCTCTAGTTAGTAGCATGTCCTCCATGAGTCTCAGGTGGTGTCCAGCTGTTGGGCTAAGGGGCTGAGATGCCAAAGCCCAGGGAGCTCAGGAAAGGAACATGGAAGTAACCAGAACCCTCCGAGCTGGAACAGGCAGACAGTGCCTGGGCAGAGGCAAGAGGGTGCTTGCACTGACCAGGGAGGCATTGGGTTGAGTGGGTAGGTTCTAGAGATTGGAGGGTCACATGGACAAAGCTTACCCCTGCTGCAAGAAAGCCCAACCTCCTCTTTCTCTAGATGAAACCTCGAGGCTCCAGCTCCAGTGGACTCAGGACAAAGAACCTAGGCCATGGAAAATGTAGCCAGCTGAGAAGGGGTGAGGGCAGAGTTCCCTGTCCTTACTACTCTAATAGTGGACAATAAAGAGAACATCAGGAATCTGCATGCTGGGAATTGCATTTCCAGAATGGGTCTGCTCTATCAAGGACTGGGAGAGTTGTGGGCGTGTGGGTGTGGGTCCATGCACAATGAATCAGGAAAGCAGACCAAGAGAAGGAAGCTGAATGCAAGCCAAGGGACTGGACTCAGGATCAAGCACTATGGGCTAAGGCAGCAAAATCACAAATTTGAGGACAACGTGTTCTGCATAGTGAGATTCTGTTTCAACACAGAAAACAAAACTTAAGGTTTTCAAATGTTCACTGTTAGTTTATTCACTTAATGTGATGCACCAGTGGAGGTCAGAGGGACTTTCTAGAATTAATTCTACTGTGGTTTCTGGAGATTAAACTCAGGTTGTCAGGCTTGCTGTGTGACAAGCACTTTTACTTAATGAGCCACCTTGCTGGCCCCAAAACCTAAGAGAAAGCTAGGATTTTGTTTTGTTTTTATCTTTTTTTTTTTCTTTTTTTTTTTTTTTTTTTTTTCCTTTGAGACAGGAAGACAGGGTTTTTCTCTGGAGCCCTGGCTGTTGTCCTAGAACTCACTCTGTAGATCAGACTTGCTTCATACATATTCGCAGAGATCCACCTGCCTCTGCCTCCAGAGTGCTGGGATGAAAGGCGTGTGCCACTACTGCCAGGGAAAACCTAGGTTCTTGAAAAGGCCCAAGGTTGCAACAGGATGGGAATGTCTGAGTCAAGTAATTCACCGTCTTTAATTCCAGCACTCAGTAAGTTCGAGGTCAGCCAAAGCCTACACAAAGAATACCCCCACACATAAACACACACAATTTACCATAATTTACCAAGTATTGGGATTAAGGAGTACACCACCACACCTGCCCTTGTAACAGGATTATGTCTCAAATGAGGTAACTGAAGGATCAGAGAACTTGTCCTGGGTCACACAACTTTTTTCTTTTTTGTCTAGACAGGGTTTCACTATGTAGCCCTGGTTAACTGTAACTTGCTATGTAGACCACACTGGCCTTGACCTCACGGAGATCTCCCTGCCTCTGCTGTAATTAAAGCCATGTGCCACCATGTTGTACTAATTATACAAATTCTTAAGTGTCAGAGACATCATTTGACTCTAGATTACTGTGCCTCCCCTCAAAGGATTTATTCATCAAAGGAGAAAGCAGCAAAGACTAGGGTCCCAGAAGGAAGGTGACAGCAGACAGTCTCTGGGGGGGGGGGGCGGGGCTGTGGTTTCTCTGATCTCAGCGCCCCCTCCGCATAGGCCCCGCCCCTACCCCTCCCAGAGCTGCCTGGAAGTGGTGGGGTGAGAGCTCCTCCTGGGTTACCCCTTTCCCTTTGGGGAAAGAATTGCAGACCCAGGCCCTACCCACCAGAGGATCTCCTCTTCCTCCCCAACACCCCTCCTGGGGGTTGGAGAGTTCATCTACCTACATACATCCCCAGCTGCCTGGCTTCCAGGGTCCCCGGGCCAAAGCGAGTCATCTGAGATGACGGTCAAGCTAGATTTTGAAGAATGTCTCAAGGACTCTCCCCGATTCCGGTAAGTGTGTGCAGGTCCAGCAGGCTAAGGAGGGGAAGGAAGGTTCCACACGCCCTGACAAATACATAATATTCGCCAGGCTGGACCGCCCTTAAAACCTAGGCCACAACTAGGGAACTGGTATGAGATGGCATCTGCCATTCCACCCAGGCCCGGCCCTCATGCTTGTCATCCCTGCACTTGGGAGGCTGAGGAGGGAAAACTGAGTTCCAGACTAACCTGGGCTACAGAGGGAAACCCTTTGAAAACAAATTACAAAAACCAAAACCTCCATGCTCTTCAAAGTTCGTCTGCTCCGCCTGTCTGTATCATTGGCCTTTATAATTGGCATTCCTTCTTCCTTCTCACTGGAACCCCTCCCCCCAGCACCTGCCCTAGAGCGGTTAGCAACTTCCTGCCCTGGCCACATCCACCATCCTGACACTTCCTGCTCTGGTCTTGAGTTATTGAAGCTTACAATGCGCATAGCAGTACATGAGCAATAACTGGCTTGGAGGGTGGGTGGCTATTCTCACCATTTGTCTGTCTGTATCCACCACCCCATGACTCCATCCCCCCACCTTGATGATAAGCAGAGGCACCAGTGGGTGCTCTGTTCTCATGGCCCTGTTCCCTCCTTTCCCAGAGCCTCAATTGAGCTGGTGGAAGCTGAGGTGTCAGAATTGGAGACCCGCCTAGAAAAGGTGACTAAGTCATGGAGAAAAGATCCAGGATTGGATCAAAATAAAAGGGGGTGGGCCCAGGAGAAAACAAGACACTGGGAATGAGTTACAGAGTCAAAGAAAGTTAACTGTGCCTGGACATGATAGCTCATAATTGTAACCCTGGGCCTTTAGAGTTGGAGGCTGAGGGAGGAGGTCACCATGAGTATGTGACAGCGTGGGCAAACCTATAGGGTGAGGTGTCTCTCTTCTTAAAAAGGTGGGGAGGGGGTCTACAGAGATCAAAGACAAAATCCTGTACCTTCATTAAGTTTAGTATCTTAAAATAAGACATTAGTTGTGCATTTTATTTATTTATTTATTTATTTATTTATTTATTTATTTTGAGACAGGGTTCCTCTGTAGCTTTGGAGCCTGTCCTGGAACTAGCTCTATAGACCAGGCTGGCCTCGAACTCACAAAGATCCACCTGCCTCTGCCTCCTGAGTGCTGGGACTAAAGGTGTGCACCACTAACACCCGGCCATTGTTCTGCATTTATATAAGCTCTAGTCCCTGACTCTGCTTTCTCTAGTGTGTTTATCTAACATGTATTTACTTGCTCTGTGAATTTTCTATTGATGTTTGACAAATTCCATAGCTCAACTCAGCTATGACTTGGCTCTGGGTCACCTAAACAGCAGTCAGGGTCTCAACCAAAATTATGGTCTTATCTGAAGACTGGGACTTTCTTGCAAGATCACATGGTTGTTGACAATTTTTAATAGTATTTCATGGCTGTTATAGGACTGGGGGCCTGATCCCTAGATGCTACTCACAGTTCCCTGCCTCGAGGCTTGCCTTCTCCACAGATACACCCTAGCATGGTTGCTTGTTTCCATGAGGAAAGTCATTTGTGTGTGTGCTAGCAAGGCGTTACATGGTGTGGCATGGAGTGTCGTCCCATTGCCTTTACCATAATCTGACAGTTTGAAGCAAGTCACAAGCCTTCCTCATACCCTGGAGCGGGCTGGGACAAGAGACATGGCTCACTGGTCCTTGCTGTTCTTCCAAAGCACCCATTCATTTCTTAGCTCTCAGGTCGGGTGGCTCATGATTACCAATAACCTCTAGTTCCAGCTTCCAGGAGATCCCATTCCCTCTTCTGGCCTCAGGCACTACACACACACACACACACACACACACACACACACACACACACACACACACACCTCTACCTTTAGTCCTAGCATCAGTAAAGCAGAAACAGGCATAAGTTCAAGGGTAGCCTAGTCTCCACCCCCCCCCCTTTTTTTTTTGAGATAGGTCACTTGTAGTTTAGGCTGACTTTGAATTTACCCTGTAGTTGAGCATGACCTTGAATTCCCAATCCTGTGACTACTACTTCGTTCTTGGATATGGAATCCATCCTCCTGTATATTAGGCAGGCCTGACTCTATCAGTAGCTATATCCTAGTACAAATAATTCTTAAAAATCATACACACAGACACACACATACACACACACACACACACACACACACACACACATATATATATATATATATGTTTTGCCTGGGTATGTCTGTATATCATGTCCATGCCAGTGCCTGCAAAGGCTAGAAGAAGGCATTTGATCCCCTAAAATTGGAGTTAAAGACAGTTGTGAGCTACCATCTGGGTGCTGGGAATTGAACCTGGATCCTTTGCAAAAGCAGCCAGTAGTCCTAACCACTGAGCCATCTCTCCAGCCCCATAAATGTTTTTAAATTCAAGTTAATAATACGCCATGTCCCCATCCACTTCCCACCAGTGATGACATTTAATGCAATTTTTCCTCATTGTCAAATCTCAAAATTAGCATTGGCACAGTATAATTAACAACAAAGTCTACAGGGACCAAAAGAGATGGCTCAGTCAATGAAACACTTCCCTTGCAAGCATAAGGACCCAAGTTTGATTCCTAGCACTTATATAAAAATGACAAGGCATATGTATGACATATATTTATAATCCTAGTATTGAAGACATGGAGATGAGAATCACTGGGGCTTTCTGGCCACCAAGTCTAACCCACTTGATGGGAAACACTATCTCAAAGGAGGTGGACTTTTTTTTTTCTTTTAAGGCAAAGCCTTACTGGCTGGCCTGGAACTTTCCATGTAGACCAGACTGGGCCTCTACAGATCTGCTTCTGCCTCAGGAGTGAGGATCTATCTGTCTGTCTGTCTATCTATCTGTATGTATGTATGTATCTACCTACCTACCTACCTATCTACCTATCTGTGTGTGTGTGTTTGTACTGGTATACATGTTGTAATGCATGTGGGGAAGTCAGTGGACAAGTTTTGGGAGTCAATTCTCTCTCTCCACCATAGTCTCCAGAATTGTACTTTGGTTTTCAGGCCCACATAGCATGTGTCTTTACCTGCTAAGCCACCTCACTGGCCTGAGATTGGCTTTTCTAAAACACTGGATGCCCAGTGTGGTGGTACATACCCTTCCCAACACTCAAGAGACTGAAGCTGGCAGAGCTCTATGAGTTTGAGGTCAGCCTGGTCTACCTAGCAACTTCCAGGACAGGCATGGCTATGTAGACAGACCCTGTCTCAAAAAAAAATTAAAGGAGTTTGAGTGATGGTTCATTGGTTAAGAGTACATTCTGTTCTTTCAGAGGACCTGAGTTCAATTCCCAGCACCCACATTTGGCAGCTCACAAATGCCCATAACTCCAGCTCCCTCTGTCCTCCTCACTCATATGCAAACATATACATGTACATATAAATAATAATAAAAATATTTTAAATTGAAAATTAAAAGAAAACTGGGAATAACAGTGTGTTGGAAGTCCATTCAAGTTCTTCAGTGCATTGATAGCTCCTTTTTATTGTTGACTGCAATTCTGTTACATAGATGAACTACTAAATATTGGTTTAAGTGTGTTTTGGTTTTATTGTTGTTGTTGTTGTTTTTGTTTTGTTTTTTGAGACAGGGACCTATGTAGCTTTGGCTGCCCTGGAACTTGCTATGTTGACCAGGCTGGCCTTGGTCTCACAGAGACCTACCTACCTGCCTTTGCCTCCTAAGTACTGGGATTAAAGGCTTGTGCTGCATGCCCAGCTAGTTATTGGCTCAGTTCTGTGAAAGGTCTTTTCTTATATACAGGCGAAAGGGGCTTGTATACACAGGAGAACTAGGCAGTCCACTGATCCACACTGTGACCTGTAGCCATTTTGTCTCCTTGTTTGGGACTGATTGACTAGATGTTGGTCAGTTTCCTGACCACTGATGATCGTGCTAGACACTTTCAGCCCAAGCTGTATTTCCCAGAAATACCCATAAGCCACCAGAAAAATGTGCTGGAAACACATGGGGCCTCCTGGCCTCTGGCACCTTGCCACTTCTTCACAAAGCCTCCTCCCTGTGACCTCTTACCACCCTGGGCGAAGCTAAAGGACTACACAGATACTTGCTCCATTCAAAACATGACAAATCATGGCCAAAGTCTAGTGTGTCACCTTCAGGGTGATGCAGCCATAGCCCTGTGGATAACAAGGCCCAGGGATAAAGAGACTGATTTGGGATTCTAGCTCAGCCATCTGGCTTTCCCTTCCTGGATCAGTTATAGCTCTTTGACCATTACAAAGGCACTGAAAGATGAACAACTGAGCACCCCAACATTTTACTAGGCCCTAATCCTGAGGCTTCAATGACTAGTTAATATTTACAAGGGAATGTTTAGAGAGTATGGAATGAGACACCCCTCTCGAACACACAAACAACAAAGGCTGTAGAACTGAACCTAGCCAGGCAGAGAATGGATAGGAGGAACAGGGCAGTGCAGGGAGGAGGCTGGGGCTTTAGGGGGAGCCCCTCATTCAGAGGGCACAGAAGGGCAGGAAGGATTAGACAGGGAAAGGTATTTGAGATGTAACGATGACCGTGAATTTGGGAAGAAGCTTGGAGGAACAGGCAGACACTTTGAAACACACAGGAAAAGAGAGCTAGGGAAGCAGAGATAATGGCATGAGTGTGAAATGGGGAGCAGCATCACAATGGGTGGCACAGTAGATTAGGAAGGGTTGTGCAGCCTTGGGCAAGGGGAAAAGTGGAGCAGAGTGGAGGCGTCGCCTAGAGTGCTGGCCACTGGTACTATTCCATCTTGTCATTCATCCTTTCCCAGCTCCTCAAGCTGGGTACCTGCCTCCTGGAAAGTGGGCACCATTACCTTGCCGCCAGCCGTGCCTTCATAGTTGGCATTTGTGACCTGGCTCAGCTGGGTCCACCAGAGCCCATGATGGCGGTATGTGATGATTCTAACCTGGGCTGTGATTGCTGGGGGCAGGGGACTGGGATAAGGAGATGCTGTGGAACAGGGGGCTGACCTGGGGTCTGCAGGGCCTGGGCTAGAGCAAAGCTGGGGCTGTTGTCCAAGGGTCCGGGAGGCAAGACCTTGAGCTGGGTGGACCTTGATGTCCCATACCTGGTATTTCTCTGTGGTTTTTCTTGCTTAGGAGTGTCTCGAAAAATTTACCGTGAGCCTAAACCACAAGCTGGACATGCATGCTGTGAGTCAGGGATGTGGGGCTTGGGGGTGATGGAATGGGTGGGGCAGGGTTGACCATGATCCTGACTCTCACTTGTCATCTTCTTCCTACAGGAGCTTCTTGATGCTACTCAACACACACTGCAGCAGCAAATTCAGACTCTGGTCAAGGAGTGAGATGGGAGGGAAAGAGGGCCTCATTTCCCAGAAACTAGCCCTCTACCTCTCTTGCTATTAACCACAGGGCCTCTCCCATAGGAGGAGCGCTGGGGGTGGGGTGGGAAGTGGTGTGACTTCAGAGTCTTCCCACCACAAGGATTTCCCTCTCATATGCTGACAGGATATGGGAAGGGGGTGTCCTGAGATTTTTTCCTCTCCTGGGGACAGAGGGTAAATCTGTGATTTTGTTTTGTCTCCCCTAACTCTAGAGGTCTCCGGGGTTTCAGAGAGGCTCGCAGGGATTTCTGGAGAGGGGCTGAGAGTCTGGAGGCTGCTCTTACCCACAATGCAGAGGTCCCCAGGCGCCGTGTCCAAGAAGCAGAGGAGGCTGGGACTGCTTTGAGGACCGCCCGAGCTGGGTACCGATGTCGGGCATTGGATTATGCCCTGCAGGTAGGTGCTTACCCCAACCCATCCTCCAGGATACCAGGATACCTTGAGGTGTCACCTCAAGAGTGGGGAGTCCCCAGTGTAGGGGGAAAGGAGGTGCTATGATGTCAAGACTGACCCCGGGATCTTTTTGGACCTTCAGGTCAATGTGATCGAGGATAAGAGGAAATTTGACATCATGGAGTTCGTGAGTTTCAGAAGCAGCAAAGATGAAGAAGAACCTGCTCACAGAGCAGGAGGGTAGAGGGAAGGGGAGGGGTATCCTTCCTCAGTTCTGCCTACTGCCCACCTTATCCCTCAGGTGCTGCGTCTGGTAGAGGCCCAGGCTACCTACTTCCAGCAGGGCCATGAAGAGCTAAACCAGCTGGCTCAGTATCGGAAGGAGTTGGGTGCCCAGGTGAAGGACCCTAGGCAGTAGGTACAGGGAGGTGAAGGTTTGCTAACATGACTCTCCTGGCCTGGTTGGGGCAAACTCAGACATCTGAGACGTTCCTCCTACACCCAGTTGCATGACCTGGTCTTGAACTCGGCAAGAGAGAAGAGAGACATGGAACAGAGGCACGTGTTACTGAAGCAGAAGGCAAGTGCTTCTGTGGGGACCGGAGCAACACAGGCCATGGCTTTGGTCTCTGCCTGCCCAGTTGTATTTGATCCTCTCATGCCCCCAGGAGCTGGGTGGTGAGGAGCCAGAGCCAAGCCTAAAGGAGGGGTCCACTGGCTTGGTAATGGAAGGACATCTTTTCAAACGGGCCAGCAATGCATTTAAGACCTGGAGCAGGTAAGAAGGCAATAGACTCAGCTAAACTCACACAATTGGATATTCTTGGATGGGTGGTTACTGATCTCTCAAACTTACTATGTAGCCAAGGATGATCTTGAACTCCTGATCTTCCTACCTTCATCTCCCAAAAGCTGGCATACAATACCAGGTGTTCAATACCATGCCTAGCTAAAAAGTAACTTTTGCAGGTTGGTGGTACCACTCACCTTTAATCTTAGCACTCAGGAGGCAGAGGCAGATCTCTGAATTCAGGGCCAGCTAGGTCTACAGAGTGAGCTCCAGGTAACCAAGGCTACCTGACTCAAAAAACAAAAACAAACAAAAGAAAAAAAACCTACCACCAACAACAACCACCAAAAAAAAAAAAAAAAAAAAAAAAGGTAACTTTTAAAGTCAAGATTTCAAGGATATCTGAGGGAAGAAGTTGTAGACAGAAGGAAGAGTTTAAGGAAGGCCCTGTGTTCTCTGTGTATAAAACTGGAGTTGTGGCGCTGGTCAGAGTGAGGCAGGAAGGAGGAGGAGCTAAAGGGGGCAGAGATCATGCTAGGACTTTGCTGACATTGGTAGTGCTTTGAGGACTACTCTGAGCAAAATGGGGAAGTCCTGCAGGGTTTAAAACAGAAAGGTGACATGTCTTGATGTGACTACTTCATCTTCTAGAATTACCACCAGCACATATGGGACAAATGAGAAAATGGAGCCCCTTCCCCAACACAGTTTCATTTGTCAAACACTATAGCAATAAGCCTGGTGTGATGCCAGCAGTCAGTAGTCTAAGAGGAGAACACTACAAAGTTGAGGTCAGCCTGGACAACAGAGGGAGTTTCTAGGCCGGTCTAGGTTATGTGGCAAGATCCTATCTCAAACAAATAATTGTAGAAGTGGGAGTGATTCCAACGCCCTCACGACACACCCAGAAATAGTGTTTACCTCTGTTACAAGTTTTTACCACCTTTACAGCTCTCTCCTATTTAGATCTCCTTCAACATTGGCCACAACTAGAAAAAAAATAATTGCAACAATAAACTTATTTTAGTTCTAAAAAAAGGAAGGAAGGCAGAAAGCAAGCAAGCTGGGTGTGGTGGCACACATGCCTGTGAGCCCAGCCTTTGAGGTAGAGGCAGGAGAATCTGGAGATTTGAAGGTAGCCATACTGCCATCTGCTGGAAAGTAGGCTTCATTAATATGTCCAAGGTGTGAAGACACCCTTTCCATGTCCCATTCTGCATAACTTCCCACCATTCTCTGGAATGCCTCATAGGACTGCTAGCCCACATCTCTCAGCAAACCGCTTAGGGGGCAAAGAGCACAGCCTTTCTTCTATCCATTCCCAAGCTTGTCCCCGGGCTACCCACACTTACCACTTCTGTCTGCTCCAGACGCTGGTTCACCATTCAGAACAACCAGCTGGTCTACCAGAAGAAATATAAGGTAGGTACTGGGTGCCTGGACTCCAGATAGACTCAGCCCTCACTTACTATGCTGGATCTTGGCCCTCTTATCACTTTCTTCCAGGACCCTGTGACTGTGGTAGTGGACGACCTTCGTCTCTGTACGGTGAAGCTCTGCCCAGACTCAGAGAGGCGTTTCTGTTTCGAAGTGGTGTCCACCAGCAAGTGAGTGCAGTCCCTTGTGGGCAATATTCTAATATGTCTGAATACTTACAAACCAAAAGGGCAGGGCCACCAAAATGAGGCTCCCTGTGCAGGTCCAGGGCCCTGCCCTTTGTTTGGTGGCTGGGTTGAGGCTAGTGGGGCAGGGGGCTTGGCTGAGAGATCAGGGTGGTAGGAAATTTTGGAGGTTACTGCCAATTGCTACCAAAGTACATTGGTGATGGGAATTATATTCCAATACATTCATTGTTATTTGAAAGATACTGAAAAACCTACTGAACACATAGCTTAACCTAGACTCAAACAACTTTGAACATCCTAGAACCCAGTTAGCCTACAGTGACAAGCCTCTTTTACAGTAAAGTTTTCTTGAATACTCTCCTGAAAATCAAAATGGCTGTATCAATACAACTTTGTGCATTAATATTGACAAATATTCAGTCAAACCATTGTAAATCAGAGACCACCTGAATTTCAATATAGCTGATAGCCAGGCATGGTGGCACACACCTGTAATAACCAGAGAACATTAAGTTTCAAAAACATAGCCTCTTCCTGTCTCAAGAATAAACAGGCCAATGAGATGCTTAGCACTTGCTGCCAAGCTTGATATCCTGAGTTCAATCCCCAGGACCCACATGGTGAGAAGGAGCTAACCAACTCCATAACATACTATGCATATGTATGCACGTACAAACATACGCACACTTAAATATATCTTTTTTAAAAGTTCAAGGCCTACCTGGTCTAGCAAGTTTGAAGTCAAGCTGAACAATTTACCAGACCCTATCTCAAAGTAAAATAAAAATGGCTTGGCTGTAGCCCAGAGGCAGAGTGCTTGCCTAACATGCACAAGGCCTTGGGTCCAATCTGCAGTAGAAATAACTAAATAAGTAAAAAAAGAAATTTGAATTCATATAACCAGTTTGGCAACAGCGGGATGTCAGTTTGTCCATTTTGCCTTTTGGATCTCTGGCTTCAGACCCCCAAATCTGTCACTCTCACCTCCACCCTGCCCCCTTCCCCAGGTCCTGCTTCCTCCAGGCTGACTCTGAGCGCCTCCTGCAGCTGTGGGTCAATGCTGTTCAGAGCAGCATTGCCTCAGCCTTCAGTCAGGCTCATCTTGATAACAGCCCTCGAGGGCCCGGCCAGGTATCTTAATATGGGCACTGGGAGGCGTGCTGTCTTGGGAGAGCACCGCTACCCCTGGGCCCCTTGCTCACCCTTTCTTCCCCTGCCTCTCTCAGGTCTCCGGATACCTTGCCCTGAGCTCTGCTGCTACTCTGGGCTCTGGCAGGGCAGCCAGAGGAAGGGAACCTGGGGGAGTCGGGCAGGTGGCAGCCCAGGTGCAAAGTGTAGAAGGAAATGCCCAGTGCTGCGACTGCAGGGAGCCGGCCCCAGAGTGGGCCAGTATCAACCTTGGTGTCACTCTCTGCATTCAGTGTTCCGGCATCCACAGGTCATTCCCTAAGATCCCCCCAAGCATAAGCCCTGCTTTTAACTGCAATGTGGCCTATCACAAGGCCCCTGTCATGCACCCTACCCGGTTCTTTTCTCGCATCCTTCTTCTCTGTCACTGGTCACCAAGCTTGCTGCACGAAGTGCACATTCGAGTTAGGTATGGACAGGCTTAGGAGACTCCTAGAGAGTTTATTGTCATTTTTGTTTTGTTTTTCGAGACAGGGTTTCTCTGTGTAGTTCTGGCTGTCCTGGCCCTCACTCTGTAGACCAGGGGGCCCTCAGACTCAGAGATCTGCCTTCCAGGAGTGCTGGGATTAAAGGCATGTGCCACCACTGCCCAGTGCAGGGAGTTTATTGTCTTCATCAGAGGACGCATAGTTAGGTTGCTGAGGGTAGGACAGCCAACAGAGCCCAAAGAGAAGTTGTGAGGAACTACCAAGTTGTTAAGGCCTCGTCACCATTCTGAAGCATACACAGAGGGAAGGGAGATGCCATACAAAGAATATTCCAGACCAAAGTACCATGAGAGAAGTAAGGGGCTAAATGGGGAGGGGGAAGAGGAGAAGGGGCTAAAGAGCACAAGGACTTAAAATGAAACAGAAGTTAGAAGGAGGGGCGGTGATCAGGCTAGAGCATGGTCAAGGATAGGTGGCCTTTGCTGCCTGCCTTCTGGCCCTGCTCCTCTGCACAGCCTCCATACAAGCCTGGCCTGAGTGTTTACAGTAGTAACAGCTTCCCCAGGCCACTGCCCACGCAGGGCATGACTCTCCTTCTGGCCTTCCAGGAGCCTTGGTGTTCATTTCTCCAAAGTCCGGTCTCTAACACTTGACTCCTGGGAGCCAGAACTAGTGAAGGTAATTTGAGCTATAGGGACAAAGGGCTGAGGGGTCCTGAGGGCTCAGGCACTCACCCCGTTACCCTACCTTTCTCTTGGCCTCTTCTGGGCCTCCTGAAGCTTATGTGCGAGCTGGGGAATGTCGTCATCAACCAGATCTATGAAGCCCGGGTGGAGGCCATGGCAGTGAAGAAGCCAGGGCCCAGCGGCTCCAGGTGAGGTTGGGATGAAGGTACCCAGGGCTTCTCCCCACATGTTGGGGGTGGCAGGATGAGGGACCTACGGCTGTCTCTTCCCAACTCCCAGGCAGGAAAAAGAAGCCTGGATTCACGCCAAGTATGTAGAGAAAAAGTTCCTGACTAAGCTTCCTGAAATTCGGGGACGAAGAGGTGGCAGGGGACCCCCAAGAGGACATCCTCCTGTGCCCCCAAAGCCTTCTATCAGGCCGCAGCTGGCGGCTGTCAGATCCAAGTCAGGTACAGAGTATTTGTCTCATTGCTGTCTGCTCAGTAGTGGCCAGGTCCTAGAGGGAGGCAGACGATGAGGTCCAGGACATCCCCTGGAGAAACTTGGGAGAATCAGACTATAGTTACAGTAGGGCATGGCATTGAACATGGGCAAAAGTGTGGAGTGGAATGTGTCAAGGAGAGCCGCAAAAAGGCACTTAGGAGGCAGAGGCAGGTGGGTCTCCATGAATTTGAGGCCAACAAAGCAAGTTCCAGGACAGCCAGGACTACACAGAAAAACCCTGTCTTGAAAAACCAAAAAAAAAAAAAAAAAAAAAAAAAAGGAGGGGAGGGGTAAATCTCCACTATGGGAAGTGACAGGAGAGGAATTGAGTTTGGCATCTCCAAAGGTATGAAAAGAAGGGTGTGAGCTTGACCCAGGCAGAGGAAGCAAAAGCTGAGTCTGTCAGGCAGTCTAGTTTGCTTTTGGCATCCAGCCAGTCTGGTGGTTGGCCAGGCTGAAGTGAGTGATACTATCTCCTCCACACCCAGGGCCCTGCACACATACATCCTGACACGTATGCACTCACACATTGCTCCCAATTCTCACCACAGCCCTGAGTCACAAGGGCCTCCCCACAATTTAGACGTGACTTACCCCCTCACAGCATCTGGGGGCTGTGCTGAAGATTTCTCCCTAGACCCATCACTGATTTTCCTTAACAGAGTCCCCTTCTGATGACCTGGGAAGCCTGCACCCTGGGGCCCTGCTGTTTCAAGCTGCTGGACATCCTCCATCTCTACCTACCATGGCTGATGCCCTGGCCCATGGAGCTGATGTCAACTGGGTCAATGGGGGTCAGGAGAATGCCACACCTCTGATCCGGGCCACAGCTGCTGTGAGGACTATGCTGACCTCCCCTACTCAAAACTAAAGCTCCTCCTGGCTCTCCCAGGGCTCTCCATTCTATAGGGAAATCCCACAGACTGGGTGTTAAAAGCGTGATTTGGAGGTGGTGAATCAATCTTGGACCCACTACTTGCATGAGATTTTAAACAAACTGTCAATCCCTGTGGATCTTAGTCTCCTCATCAGTAAACTAAGAATAGAAGGAGGCCAGAGAGATGGCACAGCATGTGCTGCACCTGCTGAGGACTAGGATTCAGTTCCCAGTGTCTATGAGGCAGCTCATAGCTACAACTCCAGTGTCAGGAGACCCAACGCCCTCTCCTGGCCTCCTCATACCTGGTCTGTGGTATACAGTCATGCAAATGAAAACAAAGTTAAGAAAGAGGGCTAGCCTCATCAGAGGCATGTGAAGAGTGACAGCCAAGCCCGATTGCCAGTTGTACCCTGAACACCATATCCCACACTCCCACCGTCTTAATTGTGTCACCCTAAAACATCTAGAAATCCACTTCTAAAAATGGCATCCTCTCCTTGATCTCTCCATGCAGAATTCTCTTCTGGCCTGTGAGTTTCTCCTCCAGAACGGGGCAAATGTGAACCAAGCAGACAGTGCTGGCCGGGGCCCTCTCCACCATGCGACCATTCTTGGCCACACAGGGTAGGAAGCCACCAGCATGGGAAGGAGGTTGTCTGGGAATGAAACTAGAGGAAGTCTGCTGCCGCTGAATTTAGCTGTCCTCTTCAGGCTTGCTTGCCTGTTCCTGAAACGGGGTGCAGATCTGAGTGCTCGAGACACAGAAGGCAGGGACCCTCTGACCATTGCAATGGAAACTGCCAACGCTGACATCGTAACCCTGTGAGAATGCCAGAGGGTCAGGCTAGTGCTTGGACAGTCTGTGCATCTTTGGGGTGGGACTAGTGCCAAAACCAGTTCTGGAAGGCGAGGTCTGGGGAGGGGTAGAGTAAAGCTCTCTGTGGGCGGTAGGGTGTGGAGCAGGGTGAAGTAATGGGGGTTCATCTTGGGAGCTGGCATTCGGACATCAACATTGCAGAAAGTTCACGTATCTGCTTTTAAAGCAGAAGTCACCAGGGAGACATTTTTACCGAGTAATGTAGCTCAAGGGATGGGGAGTTAGGGAGGAAGAGTGCGAAGTCTTTTATCCCTTCATTTCCACCCTTCAGGCTGAGATTGGCAAAGATGAGGGAGGCTGAAGTGGCCCAGGGCCAGGCAGGTAAAGTAGCCACTTATTTATCTGGACCCTGGGTCCACACCAGAATTCTGGCCCTTGCTTACTTGTCCCCTTACTGTCAAAGTGCATTAATGCCATTATTTATTCAACAAGCACGTTTTGGGCCCACCGGATGTGCCTGGCCCTCAGAACAAAGGAAGGACAAGGTGCGAGGCCATGCTTACATTGCACCCACAAGTCAAGGGCTTGCCCTGTCAGACCCACCCTACTGCCCAGTGATGCTTTTCGTAGTAGGCCAGCTGTCCAGCCTTCCAGTCTTCCCTCTGTCTTCCTCAGGGGATGAGACATATCTTGACATCTTCCGAGACTTCTCTCTCATGGCATCGGACGACCCGGAGAAATTGAGGCGTCGCAGTCATGACCTCCATACTCTTTGATTCCAGGCCCCTCCCCACTTGGTCGTGGCCTGTTCTCCATTAAAGTCTTTCTGCTTTGCCTTTTCTTTCTCAGCTCATTTACTGTGCGCCACCTGGGGGCCCGACAGGGTGTTGGGTGCAGTGGCCAATAATGAGCAGGATTTCTCTAATAAAGGAGGCTGATTAGCACCCGGTGGCTTTGTGGCGGTGGGGAGTGGGGGGTGGGTGTCCTTCGAGCTCAGACGACAAAGAAAGCCACCCGCGTAGGGACCTGGGCACGCCGGGGTGGCCCAAAAGCATCCCCGGAATTCGATGGCTCAGCACCCGCCCCATCGGGAGTTCCCGACCGGGATCCAACCCCAAGGCCTGGGTTTTCTCAGAATGGAGGGACTGAGACTCCTGCCCACACTATGTTGTACTAGTGAGGTCATGCACACCTGCAGGGAACGCGGGACCGTCGTGGCCACATCCGTAGTGAAGCCTGTGAATCATCCCACCCCCGCTCGCGTCGGCAGGACCATCCTGTCCGCCCCGTCTCTCCCGTAGGCGAGTCCCAGCTCCCAGCCTCAGCAGAACCCAGCTAGCCCATGGGGGTGGAGGGCGGGGCGCTAAGGGGCGGGGCTGTCGCTTAAAGGGCCACTGACCGCTGCCCTTAGACCACTTCCTGGGGGTGGAGAGGACCTCAGCTGCTGCTGCGACAACCCAGGAAGGCGGTAACGCCCGAGTCCCGAGACTCCGGCTGTTGCCAACAAAGTCCTGGGACACCCTCAGCTCTGACTGCGAGAGCATCGTCTCACTCCATACAGAACGGCTCGCCACCGGCTCCCATCAGTTGCGCCTCCATCTGTTGGGACCCATGCCTCTAAGCCTGGCCGGGCCTCTGGGCAGGTCGTAGGAACCCGGCGTGGACTCGCCTACTGCAAAAGCTATCTACTAAGAAACTCAGAATCTGAACCCTTCAGAGTCCGGCCGGTGCTCGCCACCGTCACCTGCTGGTTGAATTCCGGAAACCCACTGTGCACAGAAGGAAATCGCTGACCGCGCAGAATCAGAATCTTCTGGACCAAAAGCTCTGGGACCCTGTCTGGCTGCCTTTTTTTTTCATCGGGTCTTTCATCCTTTCGGGGACTTCTATGTTCTGAAGCCCCCAATCGCCACCAAGGTAGCTGGGTGGGCTACAAGCTTTGCTGTCTTGTTTTCCAACCTCTGCCTCCAACATAGCGAGTCTGAACGTTACCATCCACTTCTTCCCAAAACCAGGAGATTCTGCCTTTTCCTTCTCCTTGCTTGTCTCCTACAGTTCCCAAAATTTCCCCCCCTCCTGTGTCCTCTTCACCCCCTTCTTTTGGGGGGCCCGTGACCCTAAATGTGGGGGGAACACTATATTCCACTACATTGGAGACCCTGACACGCTTCCCGGACTCCATGCTGGGGGCCATGTTTAGGGCTGACACCCTTATTCCAGCCAATCTCAACTCTCAAGGAGATGGCCATTACTTCATCGACAGAGATGGCAAGGCTTTCCGGCATATCCTCAATTTCCTGAGGCTGGGCCGTCTGGATCTGCCCCGTGGGTATGGAGAAACTGCACTTCTTAAGGCAGAGGCTGACTTCTACCAGATCCGGCCCCTCCTGGATGCCCTGCGGGAATTGGAAGCTTCTCGGGGTACCCCTACACCCAGAGCTGCGCTGCTCCATGCAGATGTTGATGTCAACCCCCGCCTGGTACACTTCTCTGCTCGAAGGGGCCCACATCACTATGAGTTGAGCTCTGTTCAGGTGAACACCTTCCGAGCCAACCTCTTCTGTACCGACCCTGAATGTCTGGGCTCCATGCGTAACCGATTTGGTGTGGCCAGTGGGGACAGGGCAGAGGGCGGTCCACATTTTCATCTAGAGTGGGCCTCCCGCCCCCGGGAACTTCCCGAAGTGGAGTATGAAAGACTAGGGCTGCAACCACTGTGGACTGGGGGGCCGGAAGATCGGCGGGAGGTGGTAAATGCGCCTACCTTCCTGGAGGAGGTCCTGCGGGTGGCTCTCGAGCATGGCTTCCGCCTGGACTCTGTCTTCCCAGACCCTGAAGACCTGCTGAACTCTAGATCTTTGCGCTTTGTCCGCCACTGAGAATGCTACCCTTCACTTTACTGTGGAGAAGAGAAGAATGTGTCAGCCAAGGGGCTGATGGCTTTCCTGAAGAATCTTTGTAGTTCTGGTGTGGGAGCTGTGAGAGTCAGGGATCCTACCTGACTGGAGCCTACATGTAGGCTGGGATTCCCAAATTGAGTCCAACTCCCAGGACTCGAGAGTGGTCCTCTCGATCTACACTGGGGCTTATCCTGGGAAAGCATCTGTGCATTCTCCAGCCTGTTCTTGCTTGAGGATGGGTCCTCTGTGTTTAGGGCTGTGGAAAAGTAAGGAAGCACCTCTGCCCAGGCTAAACCTAGCAGAGCTCTGGAGGTTTGAGCACTAGGTGGAAGGACATACTTTGGATTATCAAATGTGGTCTGTCCCCTAGACTGTGGCTTCCCCTGGAGCTGGTCACCGTATCCTACTATGACCATTAAGAGGCCAGGATATCTGGGAGGTTTGTTTACTATATTCAAAGCCACCTACTATGGAAGATTGAAAATAGACAACTCATCCTAGGTTGACAAAAGGGAGCTAGGAGGATCCCCACCAGCATGGGGGGTAGAGCACCCTTCTGAGATTCCAAGTATTTTAGAGGGTTTTGTATGTGGGTGGGACTGAACATGGGGAAAGATGGTATTTTTTTTTTTTTTTTTTTTTTTTTTTGTGCCCTGGGCTTGTCAAGTGTGTTTTTGTGCCAGCCAATATATCTGACTGATGCTTGGATCCCTATCATCTTGGTTCCCATCAGTGTTGCTGACTCTTGTGTTTATATGATGGTCCTTCTGTGATCTTGACATGTCCAGGCCTGTTTGAGGTTGCTTAGCAATTCTTCAGGCTCAGGTATCTCTGTGGTATGTGTAAGAGCAGACTGCGATTTAGTTTAATCATAGGGTGTGTGTGTGTTTGCGTGTGTGTTTATGCCCACATCACCATGTAGGCAGGAGGGGCTTGTTTGAGTTTGAGTCACTAGGCTCTTTCTATGAGAGGTTAAAGCCACTGGGCTTAGCTAGGCCTCTGAGACCTCTGAAAGCTCTTGGTTGCTGAGACAACCATGAGCTTGTTGCTAGGAAATAGCTGGGTAAGGCCTAAGGCTGTCCTGGGCAGAGAGGAGACAGAGTTGGGAGAGTGGAGAGGATGTGGGAAAGGATAGCATTTCTGGGTCCCTGAGTGGATGGGATATACACACACATCTTTACTGGGAGGAGTCCTTCATCCATCACTATGACTTACAAGAAGAAAAATAAAATTGCTTTCAGAACCACAGACGTGTAAAGGCCACTGTCCCCTTGCAACAGAAACCCTGATTCCTCCCTCTAGCTCCTACTGGAGATGTCTTTTAGCTTCCTGTTCAGGAGGCCCCAGGGCAGCTTTACTGGAGCCAAGGGTAAAACAATGGTATTGTTCAGGATCAATCTAGAACTCCCCACAGAAGGTCTAGAATCCCTCAGCATTCTGAGTCTTCCAGGTCCAAGGGGTCCAGCTCCCACCCATCCTCCAGCAGGCCTCATGTGGGTACTGGCACTAATTGGGATTTTCCTGGCTGTCACCAAGGCTTGTATCTTTTGTCGGCTTCCAACGCATGCCTTGCCAAGCCGCCTGGCTCAGCTCAGTAGCCAGATGGAGATGCGATGGAAGGAATGGGCTTCCCCAGACTTCTCAGCCTTTGCCTTAGGTATTACAAGACACACACGGTTAGCCCTGCAATAGTCACCTGTATATCCTAAAGGGGTGGCGGTGAGTTCCTAGCTGCCCCCACCCAGCCTTTACTGCAGTCCATTAGCCTCTCCCTTTGGAAGAGCTTTGTCCTAGGAAATAGGAAACACAAAAACCCTAGCACCAGCCGGGCAGTAGTGGCGTGTGCCTTTAGTCCCAGCACTTGGGAGGCAGAGGCAGGCAGATCTCTGTGAGTTTGAGGCCAGCCTGGTCTACAGAGCTAGTTCCACGACAGTCTCCAAAGCTACAGAGAAATCCTGTCTTGAAAAAACAAAAAACCAAAAAACCCTAGCACCTACTGAGAGACTAGCTTATTATTTGTGCCCATCTCCACAGATGAGGTGACCATGAATAAAATCACAGAGAAGACTCACAGAGTCCTGAGGGTCATGGGTGAGGTCAGAGGGAGAGTCCCAGGAAGGATGGGGGTGGGGGCAGGTGGAGACCGGCTGATCTGGGGAGGAGCCTGGAAGGCAGCACTGCTGAGGCCTAGGGCAGTATGCTGTGCTGTGTCTTTCCAGAGATAAAAAGGTCCATCTCCTCGCTTCCTTCATATTGGCAATGGCTTCAGAAGACCAAGATCCCACAGTACACCAGGGAAGGTATTGATTGAGAAGGCATCAAGGGGGTACTTAGGATTTGTAGCCAAGTGGAGAGTGGCTGAATAGGTCAGCCACCTTTTGTCTTTCCTTTCAGCCCTCTGTGCTCCCGCCTGTTGTGAGTAAAAGAAAAGGGTAATAATAAGCCTGAGGAAGTTGGGTGGCTGGAAGGGTGGAGGCCCCGGCTTCACTCGCCAGCGCTGCTCCGATTGTCTCCTGCAGGGGGCAGCACGATCCTGTACAACTGCTCTACCTGTGAGGGCAAGGAGTCGGCTTGTTGGCCCCGAAAGCTCTGCTTCCCAGGTTCTTACTCCCAGCCCTCCTCCTCTGACCCCTTAGGCTCCTTGGTGTGATCCGTGGAATTATCCACTGCCTCCTGGGTTCTTTGCAGGAAGTCACGATCTGTGGGACGTTAGGATTCTGCTCTTGTGTATCTTTGGAATTGTCCTGCTTTTGGGCGCTCTGAGCCTCCAGGTGGAGTGAGTTGCGGGATCACCGAAGAAATGCCTCACACCGCCCTTCCTCCTTCCTCCCAGCCCCCTTCCCGACTTCCCTCCAGGCCTCACAACCGGCCTTCTTTCAGGTACCGCCACCTGCAAGCAAAAGACTTGTGAAGATGCTGACAACTTTCCCACTTCCGGCTCTAAGGAATTTGTACCCACAATTTCTACATTTCTTAGGGTGGGGACGAGTCACTTTTTAGATCCAGCCCCAAAGCCTCGGTTTTCCAGACCCTAAAACTCGGACTTTTGTAATCAATAGCCGTGTCAGATGGCTCCCGTAACCCAGGCACCCACCCCTGGAAAGTTCCTCCTCTTCCTCGCCCTACCAATCAGAGAGCTGGGGATGATGCCAGGAAATTATCTACAGAAGGAAAGAATCCCTTATCACCACTCCCACATCCCCTCGGTCCATTCCAGGAAAGCGGGGGACTGTTGGCCTGTAGATGTTGCTCTAGGCCCTCCTATGACTGATGGGGAATCCGGGAATGAGAGTTCTGGAAAACTCTCTGGGGTGAGACCACATCAGTCAGCCCGCTGGCATGCAATCCCTCCATTGTGTTAATACTGTGCAGCCCTGGCCTCCACGCCTGTGGGCCCAACTAAATTTGGTGTGCAATGCCTACCATCTATCTGCCTGGTCTCTATCTGCAACTTGGACAAGCAAGAGAATGGAGATTCTTAGGAATTTTAATTAGGGGTGCCCCCTCCCAAGATATTTAGCAATGTCTGGAGACAGTTTTGTTTTGATTGGGGGATGTGTTACTGGCATCTAGTGGGTGGAGACTAAGGCTGCTGCTGAGCATCCTAGGACACACAGGAAAATCCTGTCCTAATAGCAACAATTTATAGTACAGAAAAGTTAGTGCCGGTGCTCTGTGTATCAGGGGTTTGGGGTTAGGATGACAGGAGATGGAAATGAAGAGAGAGGCCTGCTACCAGCCACGAGTCCTAATATAAGCACTGAAGCCCAGGTGAGGTCCCAGCCTTCATCTAGTTTTCAAACTGAGGGCAAGTATTTTCAAATAGCACATTTGGAGTTACCTGGACAGCTTCCAAACAACTCATGTTTCTATCCCTCTCTGAGTGCGAGTGAGGTAGTCTCACACAAAACCTTGCTTAATATGATCTACAGCCAGGTTAGAACCGTTGTCCTAGCATTGCCTATGGACTGAGGGAGGAGCTCTCTGGGATTTCCAGTGTTCCTCCTTAATTTTTTGTTGTTGTTGCTGTTGGCTTCTTTTCTTTGTCTTTTTTCAAGACGATTTCTCTGTGTAAGAGTTTTGGAACTCTATTTGTAGATCAGGCTGGCCTTGAACTCACAGTGATCCACATGCTTCTGTCACCCAAGCTCTGAGAGCAAAGGTGTGTGCTGCCATGCCCTGCTCTAAATTTTGTTTTTAAATTTTATTTGTGTGTGTGTAAGCTTATATGGACCCCATCACGTGTGTGGAGGTAAGAGAACAATTCGTAGGAGTCAAGTTTCTCTTCCTACCATGAGGAGGGTCCCAGGAGCTGAACTCAGAGGAACTTTGTGGCAAGCTCCTTAAACTACCGAGCCATCTTTGCTTTTGCTTTTGAGATGGTCTTGCCAGGTTAGCCTGGCCTCCAGCTTGCTATGATGCCTGGGATGGTCTTGAGCCTCTGAACTTCCTGCCTCTACCTCCTAAGCACTGGGATTGCAGGGATACACTGCCACTGCCTGGCTCTCTTTGTTTTACACATGCTAAACATTCCTTCCATTTTGCACATGAAAATATGAAAGCCAGAGGTTGTTTAAGAGCACAAACTTGTCCAAGACCATAGGGAAACTCATCCATTGCTTGGACAAGAAGGTATGAGAAACGCCATGATGCGCTGCCCTCCGGGGAAGCATAATTCTCTGCAGGGCAGCTGCCCTGTTCCTCCCCTGCTCAGTCTTCATTTCCAGGATCAATAACGTTCTCCTGCCTAAAATGCATAGATCTAGGATAGCACCCATTATTCAAGGACCTCCATCCTGTCTGCCCCCTTCTCCTGTGGTAGTCTCCAGCCCACCATGTACCCTTTATAATGGACCTTACTCTCTCAGATGCTCCATCTGGTTGTGAATGCTGGTCTTGAACCCAGGTCATTCTCAGTAGCCAGGTGGTTCCACACAAAGCTCTGAATTTCTCAAAGGAAGTGACGAAGTTGAGTTTTGGAGTTGAGCTGCTTGACTTTAAATCCTTAGTCTGCTCTTATTAGGCCTTGGCAATTTATATAACTTCTCTGTACCATTTCCTTATACATTGTTTTTGACACAGTCTTGTTGTGTAGCCGGGATTAGAGGCAGATACCACCAACCTCAACAGTCCCCAGCATTTTGTACATATTTGACTGCAGTTTTGCTTTAATGTAAGCACTATTGTATTTCATTAAATGTGTGATATCAAGGACTAGAAATGGCTTAGCTGTGAAGAGCTCTTGCAGAGGACCCAGGTTCTGTTCTCAGTATCCACATGCTAACAACTGTCCAAAACCCCAGTTCTAGGGGGTTCAGTACCTTCTTCTGGTCTCTGCTGCGGACACTGGGAATGCATGTGGTACACATACCTATATGCTGGCAAAACATTCATACACATAAAATGAAAATAAAATCTTAAAAAATAAATCTATGAAAGCATCAATTATGTATGATTACTACATGTTAAGAAAGAAAAAAAATCTGTCATTTAAGCTATGACATGCTTGTAATTAAAATTCACTCTGACTTCAAAGATGTTAAAATGTTAAGAACTAATACAATTTTTTAAAAAGTTATCTGCTTTTAAACAATAAGAAGGGAACCATGGGAGCTGGAGAGATGGCTCCCTCGGTTAAGAGCACCGGCTGCTCTTTCGAAGGTCCTGTGTTCAATGGCTAGCATCCACATAGTGGCTCACAACCATCTACAATGGGATGTGATGCCCTCTTCTGGCCTGCAGGCATATGTGCTGGCAATAATGCAGATAGAGCACTCACACCTAACAAAAAATATGTAAAATAAAAAAAAAATTTTTTAAGGGAATGGTGTATAGTGCTTCCTGCTGTAATCCCAATGTGGAGAACCAGAGTTCAAGGTCTTCCTTGGTTGCATATTAAGCTCAAGTCCAACCTGGACTATAAGAGACCCTGTTTTCATAAACAAAACAAAGCAGGGTCTAGAGAGATGGCTCAGTGGTTAAGAACACTTGCTCTTACAAAGAACCCAGGTTCAATTGCCAGCACTGGCAACCATCTGTAAACACAGTTTCAGGGGCCCACGCCTCTTCTGACATCCACAGATTCCTGTATGCACATGGTACACAGGTGCAGACTCATACATAAAAGTGTAAAAAATCAAATATGAGGAGCTGAGTGGTGATGCACACCTTTAATCCCAGAATTTGGGAGGCAGAGGCAGATGGATTTCTGAGTTTGAAGGAAGTCAGTCAGGCCAACAGAGTGAGTTCCAGGACAGTCAGGGATACAAATTAAGACTCTGTGTTAAAAAAAAAAAAAAAAAAAAAAAAAAAAAGAAGCGTGAACATTTGCTTATCATACCCGAGTCCATCGTTCATTCCTATCACTGTCAATCAACCATACTAAGGCTGGTGATGTAGTTCCACGATGAAACACTTGCCTGAGAAGGCCTGAGTTTTATTCCCAGCACACACACACCACACACAAAACATGGTATGGTATGGCATAGGTCTGTATTCACACTGGGGAGGTAGAGACAAGAGGATCAGATATTCAATGCCATCTTCAGGCACATAGCAAGATCAAGGTCAGTCCAGCGCCCATAAGATCCTGTCTCAAGAAAATAACTTATTGAAGACATTCCCTATGTCTTCCCTGCCTACCAAACATACGCCTGGCTTGTTTTCCCTGGCGCTCAAGGCACTCCATCGGTAGCGCTCACTTGTCTTATCTGCTGCTCAGGCCAGAGCTTTCTAAACACAGACCTAACTGGAATTTCTACTCTATGCCCACGAGCATCTCACACTCCACATGTCCAAACAAACCTCCCTCACTGAGATCCCAGTGCTCTTTTGGGATGGCTCTCAGCTCTCACACTCCATGGCAAAGCCCACCACACATCCTTGTCCTTCCTCTTCCTAATGCAACAAGTGCTCTTCTCATCAGTAACCAAGTGATTCACCTCCAAATTTGTAACTCCAGCTGCCGCTTGTCTAGATCGTTGCCTCCCACAGCTGCCCACCTTCTACCACTCCCCGCAGCCATACTGAATCACTGAAGTTTCCTAAATACTTTTTCTTTCTGCCTTTGTCCAGGCTTGTCCCTCCATCCGAAGTGTCCTCCTGATCTGGCTCTGATAATGCAACACTGCCTCTGAGTTAAACCAGGAGAGTAGATTTCTTTCTCGGGCATCTTGAAGCTATGACACCTGTCACATCAATTGGTGTGATTTTTTTTTTTTTTTTTTTTTTTTGCAGGAGGAGGAGGGGAAGAGTTGAGACAGGACCTCATATACTCCAGGCTTGCCTTAAACTCCTATGTAGCTGAGGATGGCCTTGAACTTCTGATCCTCCTGTTTCTACCACTGGTATTACAATGACCACCACCTCTGGTTTGATGAATGATGCCTATTTGTGGGTGTATTTTTTTAAGCTACTGAAAATATTGTACACTAACAAGATACACAAATCTGAGGGGTGGGGATATAGGAGTCAATGGAGAACACAGGACAGAGATAACAGGACAAGACTAAGAGCTTTACGGAATAGACTGGATCTGTTGGTTTTGCTGACTGCCTTCTTTGAGGGCAACAGAACAGACCTGCCCTTGAGGCCTGCTGGAAGCAAACAAACTCAGAGGGGACATTTTATTCTTATCTTCACACAACAGTGAGAGGTGCAGAATGGCCTCAGAGGGCTCAGCTCCTGCTGCATCAGAGTGAACTCAGAGATATCACTGTTGATGGTTTGGTGGCCTCACTGGTTCCCAAGATGTCGCAGTGACATGACTGCTGAGCAAGTGTTTTTGATGAAGTGGCCACCTGCCAGGGAGGGGCTTTCTGAGTAACATCAGCCGACATGGCTGCAATCAGCCAGGCCGGTCACAGTGCACACAGAGAGGAGCCTGGCTTGGTGGTAACCTCTCTGGATCATGTGTTTCCTATGGAGCTACTGCAGGATTCCCGTCATTCCTGGCACAAAGGTAACATCAGAAAGACATCCTCCAGGCTCCAGGAGGAGGAGATGGCTCCAGGAGGAGGAGGAGAT